GCAAGGCAGGTGAGCTACGGCACTGCTTTGACTTTAAAGGTCACTACAGCTGAAATCAATGCCATTTGCTAATTAATCAACGGAGAAACAGCAAAAAGATTTTACCTAAGAAAACCAAAATAATCCCAGGAATTTGCTGTTCATTCTTCAAATAGCAGAGCCCTAATCACAAACCCTCCCTCAGTCACCAACTTGCAAAAAGAAGGAGGAATTTCCAAGCACGTTTTCTGGGGATATACTCCTGCGCAGCTGGGTGCAGCGGGTGTTTCTAAGATGTAGCAGCTTTCCATTAGCCACATTTTTCCACGGAGCACTCACCTCATCCAGTACCTAATGACCGAGCTGTACTACTGGAAAAACGGTGTGTTAACAGCTACAGCTCTAAAGAGAAATCTTGTGCCCCCTTGTCTTTCCCTCTCCCTCCTGACAGAGCAGGACACACCCACACACCTCTTTTTCTTTGTACAGCCTAGAGGAAAAATATATATATATATTGAAGTCATCAAAGTATGAATTTATGAAGTAACTGCTTGACTCACGTAAACTGCCAAGCCCCTATAGCTACCAAAAAAAGCCTCACCAGCTTTTCACAGTGCAGTGCTACCATCCTGCAGTGCCAGCTTGCAAGCAGCACTGCACACCCTGAGCAGCAAAGTGAAACTGAAAAGAAACAACTCGGTTTGGCATTTACCCTTCGGCTCCCTGAGGCAGCAACAGTACTTAAAGAATAAAACTGTAATTTTTTGCTACCAGTTTTCAAGAAGCAGGTTCCAGAAATAGCTCAATAAAGAAGGCCGGGGTGACACACAAACACAAATACGAAAGCTCCACCTGTAAAGCTGCAGAGGAAGAGGCCTCTTCACTACTCTGGCGTGTATACATACCCAGAGGCTCTGTGATGGACAGGCTTCAGGTTTCAAAGCTCCCGAGATCAATGAACTGTTGATTTTGATATTAAAATCGTCCCTTTCAGCACTGTGCCTTGGCCACCATCCTGCCACCTTCACACACGTCAAAAAAAAACCAACTTTATTCCCTAGCTCTCATCTCTTTTAACGCCACTTGAGTCAGTTTTGCATAGGAAGGCATCACATAAACCCAAGCCGGCTACCGTGCAGCAAAAACTCTTAAGGACAGGTATGACAACACAATGCTCCAGTGCCACATAAGACTAACAGAAGTTTAACATGGGACTTGCATCTCAACCCTTTATCTCAACACGTGAAGCAAAGAGAACTTTGAAGACAACGCAGCTCAAGCAACACACTCTGCAAGACATCTCCAGCAACAAGGGACAGAGGGGGGTTTAAACGAGGGTGTCTGTCCTGACATGGCAGATGGAGAGCCCAAGAGCTGGAACACCCTCAAGATTTTTTTCTTCTTTTACATCCTGACAGCTCTTTAAGCATCTAAAAATGAAAGTACAAGAAAGCTTTGATACCGGGAAAACAGAGACCAACTGAAACTCCAGGGAAAAACAAAATATTCCCCCAGTCTTACTCTACATATTCTGTACTTCATGTTGCATATTTAATATACTTCTGACCTGTGAGTTTGGCTGTATTAACTTTAAAGTACGAGGCAGAAGCCCTCCTGATGAGTAACGGCCCTACGACAACTATAATGAAGTTTTAAAACCCCTGCCAGGTGTGGAAAGAAGAGTTTGCACCCACACACCCCTTGCCAAAGCAGCTGGGAAGTTTTCTGGGGGTCTTTTCTGTTGGATATATTTTATTTATATCCACTTCTTTCAGTGCACAGCGTGGACACCTCATCGCTCACTACTCCATATTCCACTACAGGTAGCTGGTCAGAATACCTGGTGGGATGCACTAGAAAAGGTCCTCCCTCTCCTCCTCCGGGGCTGAATCCCACCTAAAACCACCCCGTAACCCAGCGGGACCCCCTCCAGCTTCACCCCCTGGGGAGCAATAACTTCGCCCGAGGGTGCTCCCGAGCACCCGGCTCGGTGCGTCCCGCCGGGTGACAAGGGCAGCCTCAAGCCTCCCCCGTCGGAACTCCTCAACATCTGCCCGTGATGTTCTCCATTTACCGGAGGGGGAGCGGGGCGAGGCCAGCGGGGCTCCCCGGTCGTCGTCGTCCCCCCCCTCTCCGCACCGGGCTCGTGAGGAGCCGGCCGCCTGTCAACGGCGGGCAGCGCCGCTCCTCGGGGCTCCCTCCCCGCCGGCGCCGCTGGCGGAGTCCCCTGGAAACTTTGCGGGGAGCCCGGGGAAGCGTCCCCCGCCTCGGGAGCGGCCGAACCGCGCTGCCCAGCGCCGGCAACTCCCGGGGGCTCCCCCGGCCGCCGCCGCCCTCACCCCCGCGACGGCCCGGCCTAAGCCCAACCGCCCCTTCCGCCGGCGCTGAGGGGAGCTCTGCCTGCTCGCTCTCCTCTCCCCCAGGACCCGGCGGAAAGCGGCCGGGCGGGAGGCGAAGGGAGGACAGCTCCGCTCCCCGCCCCGCTCCGCTCCGTCCCTCAGCCCCCGCTGCCGGCGGGGCGCCGCCGCAGCCACCCCGGCCAGGCAACGCCGCGGGGCCCCACGGGGCGCCGGCAGCGGCTCGCCTCGCCCCCGGCGGCGGGTGAAGCACGGCCCCGGCGGCCCCGAGCGCGGCAGCGAGGGGCATCCTAGAAGGAATTGAAGCTGCGCTTTACCTTTAGTTCCGCACTGTCCGCCATCTTGCAACTCCAGGCGCAGGCGCAGTGAACCCCGCCGGGACACCGCCCCCCCGCCGCCCCCCCCGCCGGCACGCAGCGCGCAGCGTTTGAATCGGGGCGCCATTTTGTCCCCGCTCTGCGCTCCGCCGGGACGGGGCTCTCCGGCGGGGAAGGCTCGGCCGGGTTCCCCCCACAGAGCTGCGGGGACGCTCCGAGGTCGCCTCCGGGGGCCAGCGCTTCGCTGCTGCCGCCCTGACGGGAAAGTTCCCCCCCTGAGAGCGCCGTCCCGCCTGCTCCGCTGGCAGCTCCGTGAGGGCAGCTGCGCGCTGAGGGGGGAGCGGGCGGCGCTCCCGAGGCACGGCCGGTGGGGGGGCTCGAGCCCCTCAGCCGCGGGGCCGGGGCCCGCCTGGGATGGGGTCACCAGAGGGAGGAGGAGGAGGAGGAAGCGTGTTCCTGTAGCCATAAGTTGATTAAAATTGCGATTTGCGACTCCGCTTCCTGCGGCTTGATACGCTTTAAAGTGCGCCGGGAGTGGCACAGCGCGGGGGTCCCCTCGGCTCGGTGCCGGGTCCCCCGCTCCGCTGAGGCCGGCGGTGGGTGCCGGGCCCCGGCCCGGCCGCTGAGCACCGCAGGACGGACTGGGCAGTGAGTTGCCCCGCTGTCGGTACCCGCGTGAGCCGCAGCACCAGGCGGGCAATGATCGGTTTTACCTCCCTGAGCCTACTGCAGAGGGAGTTGGGGAATCAACGTGAGGCTTCCCTCTTAGGAAAAGCAATGCAGGTGGTTTTGGGAAGGCCTACAGAAGAATGGAGCTTTTAGGTCAAAACTTCACCGTGTCATAGCATTTTTGAGTGATATGTGGATTCTTACAAGACCAGCCAATGCAGAAGGGGGAAATATACACTAAAAATGCTACCTGGCAAGGTGACTGCATCAGTGATGAAGTTGATCGGTTTAAATACAAGCATTTGAGTCAGACACCTTAGCTTGATTCAGCTTCCTTTTACCTGTATGTTACTCTATAATGATACCTTCTCGACTTGGCCTTAGTGCATAGGATGGAAAAAATCTCTTGAACGTGGCCAATATTGTACATCCTTTTAAGTGAAAAAGACAAAATTTCGTGGTTTTCCACAGCTGCTGTAAAGTTCATCATTGTACATTCAGAAAGCACTTCAATTATCTGCATTGCAAGACAAAACCAGCATTAATATCTCTATGCTACAGATTAAAGAAAGTGTGCTTGAGGCCACACAGGGAATCGGCGGTAAGAAGATTACCACTCATGATTATTACTGAATTATAATGTTCCCCATATGACCTGAATAGTTACCCGCAATTTAAAGTTAGCTGGTTTCTATTGAGAGAAGAATGCGATGGGGGTATGGAGTAGCTTTTTGCTGCCATTCTCCTTGTTGGTAAGGCTGTATATGAAGTTCTGATTCATGAACAACAGAAAATAACCTATATCTCTCCCCAGATACTTCATTTCAAAGCCTTCCACCCATAAACATTCCCCAGCTTGGTCTCAAGACCGGATTAACAGAAAACCCAGGCGCATCTTTGGTCTCCTCGCTCTGGTACCTCTCTTTCTTCTCCCAGGTCATCCTGCATCCCATTTCTATTGTGGATACACCAAGTCTCCACTGTTCTCATCGATTTCTTTTACAGTTCTCAGGGTTCAGCATCAGCATATCAAATGAAGCATTCAGAAAATGAGCAATTAGAAGAGGCTGATAAGTAATACTCTGATACTTTGTCTTAATACTGCATGTAATGAAGACTTATCAGTGTCTAGAATGCTGGTTTGGGGAGGGGGCAGGGAGCTAGGCAAGATAGCTAAAAAAAATAAGAGTCAGATGACTACCCAGTACACCCACATGTACCATAATTAGCTGATCTATTTCAGTGGTCTGAACCAGCCCAGTTTAGAACACTTCATTTTGAATTGAATATGGTTAATAATCATGATCTATGAGTTTGTGTCTCTTTAAAAGAATTTGTCAAAAAAAAAATCTATAGTTGAATAAAGACAAATCCCTTTTTACAGTTACCTTTTTTTTCCCCCTTAAAGAGGCTTGCAGCACAGCAAACAGTTCTTCCTCTGCTTCTTCACTTCCTACCAAATTCAGTGGGATGTGGACATGTGCTTAAGTGCTTTGCTAAATCATGGCATAACACTATCAAACCTGACACATGGCCATAAACCACAGCGTCCTCTTTCAAAACTTGCTTTAAATAAAACAGGCTGAGGATGTCTTCAGATACATTAAAATAAGGAAGTGAACTAAAAGAGAGGATACAGAATATTCACTTGAAATTGGTTCACCCTAAATACTGTAAATGTTTTTACAAATAAAGCTAACAACAGGCCCTTTATTTTTCAGCTTGGACTGCTGCTAGTCACTTCTTTTTTAATGCAGTATATACTTTACCGTGAAGAAGGAACTTAATGTGAAAAGCAATCTGTGCTTCTATTTTTAGACAATTATTTACATGTAATGAAATTTTGTTCCTCTCTACTCCGGAGGCTTAGATGATGGTTTCTTTGCCAAGAAAAGACTTTGTCAACACACAGTCATTTTCAAAGGGGCTTTCAGTTGCTCCAGCTCTGCTGCAGCTCTGTCACTGATGGCACCACTCAGGTCTGTCATGATTCTGTCTTCGTTTCAAAAGGACATGCTCATCAAGTAATGCAACTGGGGTGTAACCAGAGCAGGTAAGAGCACCTCCAAAACAGTCTTCTTGTTGTCAGTCACCTCCATTCCCGAGCTAAAACTACAGTACTTTTTTCTTTTACCTTTGGGGGAGAGAGGGAAGAATAAAGATCAGTGTTTTCTTCAACCAAAATGTTGATATTTTCAATTCCCAGTTTTTAAAAGTTCATTTTTGCCATGTTACAGTAAAATAAATTACTTCCACAGTCTACCTTCCACCCCCATTTCTTCCATTTCTCCTATTCTGTAACCTTCCCCAAAATGTATCAGATCACATAATTCACTCGCTTAAAAACATGCTCAGACACAATAACACTTTTAAAACAGATACGCATTTTTTTCTACTACATGTTGTTCTCATTAGTCCGAGTCTCCAAGACTTCTCCCTCTTCGCCTAATAGTCTAAACTTACTGTGCTCAAATGTAAGGAGGGGGAAGGAGGCATTTTTGCTCCTGAATCTAACTTAGTTAACGATAGATTTGCAATGACCCTATTTCCTGATAGAAGAACATGGCCAAGCCATTCAAACTATCTTTTATTCCTGAGATTGTTGGAAGCATAAAGATCATTTAGATGTGTCACTGAAACAGCCTTTTCTGGTGGAAAAAAAAAAGAAAATAAGTCATTCAGGTACATTTTAGTGAAAATGGCTTGGCTATACGTGAAGAAAATGGAGCAGCAGTACATCAGATAAAGTCAATCCATTCTTCATGAGCAACACACGGCATTGCGCAATATGCTGCATGGTAAGTTCAGCAACTTTGAGCTGCTGGGACTTGGCTGGTACACACACCTCCCCCTAAATTCACATCCTCGTGCACTATTATAGTCAAGTATATTATATCCTATTATGTTGCCATAATCTCTCAAGTTGGGCCCAAAATAAGGGCTGCTACTCACTTAGAAAAGGAAGATTGACGGCATCTTGGCTGCATGTGGTGTTAAACTTTAGAGAGGGGGAGTTAATCACCTGAAATCCTAAGTCAGGGAAATATGGGATCATTTTGTCGATGTCACATCTTTATATCCTTAGATCTCCTGGTATAACAATGATACTGCAATATGGAAGGCATATGTAAATGGGTTACTATAATCTTTAATTACATATGCAGCGTTACGGTGTGACACATCCCAGCTTCATTTGCGTGTTTCCTGTTCTTTCAGTTCTTTCTTCTCAACTTGCCTTTCTGCTTACACTTTACAACACGCAGTACTCCAAGCCTACCATGGCCATGGTACTGACCCTTCCCCATTGCAATGTTTGCAAATCTTTTAAAATTTAATTGCACTCCTTGATATTTGAACACCCTGTATATTGTGTTCCCTGCCTGGAATGAGGCATTCCAAGTCAAGCTCAGTTCTCCCATGTACTTCAGTGCTATACAAAGCATTGCAGCTGCAAGACAATAGTAATAGGCACAACAATTAGCCCATTCTTTAACACTATTTGCTTAACCTTTTCTGCTGCAGCACCAATGGATGATATGTGCTTGCTCACAGCACTCTCCTAATGTTCTTAAGGTCTGTCCTTTGTAATTAAGCTATTCTTTATTTGGATCGAGGCAAATGAAGTATCAATTGTATCGAATGGAGACTACATTTTTAAGGTGAGGATGAACAGAAGGTCTTCCTGCCTGTTTTTACTGCCATGGCTGCCAACCGTGACACACAGAGCCTACAGATCACAGCGACCTTTTCCATTCTGCCCAGTGCCTTTCATGTATTGCACCTTTATAAAGCAAGGAAAGTGCCTGGGTTACCTCCAAAGCAGCCACAGAGGCACCATGGAAAATGCCTTGTTTAGTTTTATACATAACAGCAGCCACCTCAACAGCAAAACTCATGCTAAAGGAGTTTTATGTCATAGGGGGCTGCTTTCTCTACTGCATTGAGGCATGCATGTTAAAGACAGCCCAAGCTAGGAAGGTATCAGCATCCTACTGGCCTTGCAGCATTTAGTTTAACTTACCTAAATTAAACTTGTGTAACTTTTACCTCAGGGAAACTACCACTGTTGCACAGATCTAGTTCTGTATGTACCACTGTTCACTTTTCTCTGAGCTTGTATTTGAATTATTCTATTTTTCTTTTAAAGTGAGATTTTTTCCCTTTGAGAAGAAATGGTCATTCCCGAGATATTCATCTGCACTTGTAAAAAAGCATTTCCTTTGGCTGAGCTGAATCCAGATTTTTCGTCAACAAAATTCCATTTTGCTGAATCACAATTGGAATTTTTTGTCATTAGCACCCATTTTCACAATGTGTGGACACAGCAGGAGAAGAAAGTAAAAAGCAACTGCAACAGGCCATCACCAATCCATACACAGTTCTGTATCGAACCAAGTAACACCTGGAGTGTCGGATTCTTCAGCTTGAAATTGGCCAAGAACTATTCAAACCCGAGGACAGAAAACCCAGAAAGCTGCATCTGTTTCCCAAACACCTTCAGCGAGGTGAGGCAGACTTTTAATTAAGCTGTACAGACTTGCAGCATCAGCAAAACCAGGTTTTAACTGTGACAAACTCCTTCATTCCAATTAAAAGTGATTTTATGCAAGACTGCAAAGTCCCAGTGCTTAAGTTACCTTCCACAGATACTAAATAATTTCTAATAAGCAAAGTTCTGTGGGAAAATGATAATAATCAAGGTGCTAAATTTTCCAGAACTTTGAGAGTAAATCCTTGTTCTGATGTTTCATGTTACTTCCCCCTTTCCTGCACTCACACAGTACATGTAAAATACTGAAATTTTCATATAATCCTCATTTATAACAATTTTCCATGGGGCATCAGTCACATAGAGTGGTCTAGAAAAAGACAAAGACCTGTTACAATTTCAGTCTCTTTCCTCTTTCCTGTCCTACAGCTTCCATTATGGACCACATAGAGAAGCAACATAGAAGGAAAGGAATAGATTATTACCTGTAGAAGTAATTAATGTAGGCAGTATAGGAGTAAATTATGCTTATCGCTGTTCTTTAGCTCTCATCTTGCCTGAAGTGGTTCAGAGTAGAGGTGGATAAAATGCTGAATGAAAAGCCGGTAGCTAGGCTGCACCTGCTGGCACAGAGACAGTATCTGGTATGAAGCGCTCACATCTTTATTCTGTACCTAATCACTATTTCTAAAGAACCACTTTAGTCCTGGGAACATTGTAAATAAAGCTGAGTTCCAGTAGCAAGTGGAGTTCAGTTTAGATGGCTCATCTGAAAACAACAGAGCTAATTATACTGTAGCAATTACCTGAAAATTATATGTATGTTGTTTTTCTGCCTGTCAATACTGCTATTTTTGAACTTTGCATGGTTCTCATGGGTTGCTGCAGTAATGCTGTCCCCAAACGGCCTTCTGCTCTCACCATTAATTCAGCCTTGGGTTTGGGGAGGGTGGTTTAGAAGTTTCAGCTGCAGCATATGCTAGTTAGCTCACACCTTTCACACTCACCTGTGCTCTCCACCACAATATAGCCTCACCTGCACTGTGCTTGAGAAAATTCTTTCCTTTTAATAGTCTTTTGAGTATGGATTATGAGATTCTGACTCTGCAATAGGACTACTAAACCAGCATCAAATGAAGATTTACTCTTGCACATTAAATAGGTACTTAAAATTCACCCTATCCCACTCAATAAGATCAATAAATGTCATAATTCTGATTTTGGAGAGTTTTATTTCCTCAATACCAGCATGGCTATCACCTATTTTTCATTGTTTCTTTTAAGAGCAACCAATAAAAGCACCTAAGATGGCAGGCAAGTGCCACGCAGGTGAGTGTTGCACCCCACTCCCAAGACGGGAATGCTGTCTAGCAACAAGAACAGGAGAATGGGAGTCAGGAATTTTTGGATCAGTTCCAAATAGACTCCTGCCATATTACCTGATTTTGACCAAGTCACGGGATAAAATATACTTGGAATGGCTCCTTTGTGAAACGGGGATGATGATAATAATAGCTATCTCCCTGGACTGTTGAGAGGAAAATAACATTTGGAAAGCACTTTGAGATTCTTGGATGAAAGGTAATGGAGCTGGAATGTTTGCAACATTAAAATAAGTTGGAATAATGTTATTATTTATTGCAGACAGTGCTTTCATCTTCAAAGCTCTTTAACATCAATGAATTAACAAAGAAAATATTAATAAAGATCATATTTCCCATTGAAACTATTTTCCCAAAGCATTTATAAATTGATCTACCTCCAGTTAAAAACTACTATTCAGAGAAAAACTAAGGACCAACTCCAGTATCATGCACTAAATCCCTAGTGGTCCTGTCCATAACAAGCCTACTTTGAACTAGGAATTGTTAGTTTATACTAATGAGGATAATTGGACCCTAAGCCTAAGCCAGCAGCACTGACGTTACTGGGAGTGTTATCACCCACTACCAGGAATGGAAAAATCAAGGCAGCAAAGGAAGAAGGAAGAGCAGTGGTTAGAAAACACCTCTGCTTTCCCAGAGAGGCCATGCTAGGCTGTAGTGAGCTGGAGGTGGCGTTTCTCTCTGCAAGAGGATACTGTTTTTAAGCAGTTTGTTGTGTCTTTGGAATAAGCTACAGAGAACTGAGACACACACTGTGCCACCAGGAGAGGTATGCAGCAGCTCTTAGATATTTCTCAGGTAACGTATAGAATTCAGAGCATCCCAGACTAAGTTATCCAAAGGAACTGCACACTTCAAGTATATTCTTACTGGCACAGCCACGACTATCACATTATCACTGGGAAGCACAGCCCAGCAATTTACTGAAAACCAGTAAATGAGAGCGTCCTTTCCAAGCGCATTATCCGCATTGATTTTGAGCCACTGCTTAAAGAACAGCAAGGGACCTTTCCCTCTGTGTTTGCTTTACCAGCCACCTTCCCCACTGCAGTCTCTTCAGCTGCAGAGATAAATGAAACCAGAGAAAACCCATTCTGTTATTATTTCCCCCTACATACACCCCTTTTGTTTTGAATTCAACATGTTTTCATAGGTCTCCCCCACTACGGCAAACGCAGCGAGTCGCTGGCACTCTCTGCTCGTGGACTCAGATACATTCCAGAACATAATGGGCTATAATAGATTTTTCTTCCTTTGAATCTGTGGTGTACTTCATAGACTCTGGAGGTCATTTTAGGCAGCCCATCAATGTTCAATATCAATATTTCTGTTCAGTGTGTTCTCTGCACGCCCATCTGCAGTGTGCACTCGCCAGATGTGCGTGCCACAAAACCAAAGCATTCGTCTAGTTTCTCCAGACTTACTGTGAAAAAAAAACACCAACCCAAACCCTCCACATTATCTGTGAAGTGTTTTGTAGCCCAGTCTTGTCAAGACTGGTGCTATTTCTTCAGAGCTGGCTGAAGGCTTTGCAAAGTTATTCACAGATTAAACTGTCCCGGTTAATCTGCTATACAATGACGCTCAGGCAGAGCTTCAAATATGTTTGGGTTTGGATAGAAATCAAATGTTACCTTTGGGAAATATGCTTATTATTAACATTAGACATAGCTTTTGGGTTACTTCCAATAACTTTGTTGAATTATAGGGAGTTTGTTATTGGGTTTTCTTTGTGCCCTGCATTTGTGTGTCACGGTTGGACAGACACTATTTTGTAGCATTTACTGTTCCTAGTGCTGCTGGTGCTATCAGGGAGATTTGCAGGCATTAATTATTCCACCTAACGCCTAGCACATGGCCAGGATCCAGTTAGGAGCATATCACCGCTCTGATGTGGGCTCGTGAGGGTGGCACAGGTAGCATTTTGTAGGCTAGGAAAAAAAACGTGGGAGCAGGAGACAGTGGTTCTATTAACAAATATGCCATAGCTGCAGAAAGCGTTTTACTGACAGGCAAGACTGACATCCAGACAAGCAGCCAAGGTCTTTTTCTCACCATGTGATCTTTTCATAATCCTCCATTTCTCTCCTAGATCAACAGGTTCCTCTTTATTTGTCATTGTCAGCTCTTAGCACAAAGAGCCTTTTGTCTGTAGCTCTGACCCAAACACACAAGACTATTTTTTGTCCATTCTTGGCCATATGCTTTCAAATGGACTAATGGGTTTCCAAGCTATAAAGCAGAACCTTGACCCTGCAAGGGGAGATGGTTGTGTGACAACATCTCTCTGTTTTGACATCATAATTTATCCCCGCTCCAGCACAACCCAGCAAAAACTCTTGAACCCAATCTGCTCCAGGGCTCGTGCTATGGATACCGATGCTGAAATCGCAGCGGCAGCAGCTTCTGACGCCAAGGCTCAGAGCAGGGAAGACCCGAGCCAGTCAATAGCTGCCTCTTTATGTCCTCTTCTAGTTCAGGATCAGTGGTGTGATGAAGCTATCACGCCTCCTTTGTAAGGCAGCACATGTTGCAGCAGCAATCACACTAGCCATAAAGCCCGGAGGATTCCTGCCAGAGCCCTGCCACAGTTTCCTTCTGCTCTGTTATTTTAGGTCCCATAACGGACGCGTTGCTGCACCCGTGGATGTCACTCTAAAAGTGCATTACCAAGGGAGAAACAGACAAACAAGAGTTACTTATTTGCCCTGTTTTCTCAGATTGCTGGACTACATCACATTGCACTCAGCCTGCCTAATGAAGAAGGGTAGAAAAAGCGACTGACGGCTTGTATGAACCTTCCTAGTAATAGTCTGCATTTACCACAGTACAAAAAGAGTTCATACCCTTTAACTGGCACTTGCTCTGGACCATCATAGAAACCCTTTTGTTTTCCAGTGGAAATAGCTCCAAAGCCAAATTCCTACCTGTCTCTTTCAGGGTGTGTCTTTGCCACATCACATAACATGGGTTTGCTCAAGGTAAAACCTGGAGCTTCAAGGGTGGCTTCTTAAGAGACACAATGGGGGATGCTGAGGAGAAGGGGGAACCTGGCCCTGATTTTATTTTTCCTCATTTCACTTCTCTCAAAGATCTGTATTTGATGAACCTGTCTTTCAGAGACTGGTGCCTGTGTCTATGTGTGACCCATTTCATTTGGCAGCCCCTTTCCCATGTGTTTAACAGAGCTTGTGGGATTCCACCATTTGCTGGTGCTCCAGATGAGGGAGGAGAAGGAAAAGAGCTTCTTATCTCCCCATTCAACCCTTATCTGAGCCTGCCAGCTGGGTCATGCTGGGGTGGTGGCAAGGGGGAGGACAGACAACACCTATGGGGAGATGAGCACAAGGCTTGTCTATGCATAAGGGAAGGGGGAAACCTGCACACCCCAAAGCACCACTGATGTTTATAGCTGCTCCAGACCCAGGTTTGAGGAGGAAAAAGAGCAGCACTATGTGGCCTAGAACTGCCATCACCTGCACAGCCAACACCAACAAGTCCTGCAAGTGCAAGAGCCCACCAACATGTTCTTAAACGAAGCATCAGCACGTACTGAAACCAACCCAAGGCACTTTGTTTGCTGGAGTACAGCCTCAGGGGGTCAAGCCCAAGACAAACAGCATTATACCATGGCTGTCTGACAGGCTGGGAAGCAACAAAGACCAGCCTGTGCTCAGCCATCCTCAGAAGGGCAGAACAGAGGTTTGCATCAGCAGGGCAATCTCTCCAAAGCCCTGGGTGGGAATTTACCCTTCCCAATACCACTAATCGACCTGAACACACAGCTCCAGCTCCCTCCAAAACCTGGCTTCAACACTGTGATGCGCGTTACTTTGGGTTACCCAAGATAGAGCCACCGTCTCCCAGTTACACAAACAGATCTTCAGGGATTTGCAGAGCATTTAAACCAAAACCTCAATCAGAAATGTGATGACAGAATTCCTCTGTTACATGCAAGTGAACACCAAAGCTTTTAATTTAGCTAAAAGATCTCTCTGCAAAGAGAGCGGCGTACAGTTTGTTCAGGACTAGTTGACAGATGGGAAAATGAAGTCCTCCCTTATTGTTCCATTTGCTGGATGCAAACGAAATACTTCACACCTACAGAGGGCTTGGAGAACGGGAAGAGCTACAGAAATATCAGCTCTCCAGACAAAAGTGTCCGGGTCTGATCCTGGAAGATGCTGCACGCTTTCAGCTAGTCCGGAAATCAGCCTTTTCCTTAGCATTCCTCAGTGATTTTCCTGTGGTAAAGCAAAGGAATAAACGGGTGAATTTAGTATTAGACCTAAAAAATCAGAGTTACACAAGATCCTTTCAGTCTGATGTCTCCACCCTGCAAACCCTTTCAAAACAGTAAGTTCTCTTTTTTCAGTTGAAATTTCCTTGTTTTTTTTAAAAGCTGGAAGCCTTTCACTGCAAGGGCTTTCTTTTCTCTACTAATAAAAATAGGCTATTAATACTATTTTGCCCTTTTTCATTGAAGTTATTGTGCAGTTTTCTTCCATCTGGGAGCCAAAACTGTACCAAGAACTAGCTGGCACCTCTCAGCCAAATTGCTCAGAGAGGACCAAGCAGTTGGCCCCGCGCTCACATCTGGGCGCTCTCAAACAATGAATAATGAATTAATGGGACATTATGGAGCAGACTGGAGGCCAAATTCAGTTCTGGGAAGCGCAGTTATTACAGAGCTGCCGCACCAGCCATGGTCCCATATGCCAACCAAGGCCAGGGCTTGAGCTGACATAGAAATCGACTGTGTAAAAGGCCAATAGGGATTAAGTAAATACACTAAGACAGAGAGCACACGGCCCACAGGAATATCCGATTTCTTCTTCCACGCAGCAGCAGCACAGCATTGCCTCTCCGTTTAAAGCCCTGGGTCTGGTTTGAGGTGCTGAGCTGTGGACTGCCTGTGTTGAGGACACCATGTACCACAACATGCAGGAGTAAACTGTTGGGGTTTAATTGGAGCCTGTTCCTCTTTATCAGCTGGAGGAGCAACAGAGCCTTCTCTGGTTGCAGATTCTGCTTTGATTACAAGCCTGATAACAGCAGCTTCACAAAGGGATAGGAAAAGCCGCATTCCCAACACCCAAGACCTTTCCTGTGGAGCACTGCAAACCCATCTCCCATGTGGAAAATTCCAGGGATGGTGAAAGGCACCTGCCTACAGCCAGGCACCTGCCTACCTATTCCCTTGCAGAGGTCCTCAGGCATTTGCAGTTCTTTTGGGGCATCCCTTTGCTGAAGTGATGGTCCTAGGAAGACAACCGAGTACTTTGTTGTTAGCCAGGATGCTGATTTACCACTGTTCCCTTGGGACGCACCTCAGGACCACAGCTTGCTTGCCTGGCTTCCAAGAAGAGCCTCACTGAAAGCAAGAGTCACTTGAGCCAAGCTTGACCCTCAGTCCCCTTTGCTCCCTGTCCTGAGTTACCAGGCACTTGCAGATGTCTTTAGGAAAAAACCCTGTTTGCACCTTTAGCCTTTTTCACTGCTCTTTCTAATACTTCTTTGCCTGTGGACATTTCTGAGGGCAAAAGGAATCCCAGTGTGTAAATCAAGTCCATTGTTTCCACTGAACTGTACTACGGGACTTCAGAACATGGTTGTGATTTGCCACATCTGTTATTTTTATGCATTGTTTTCATGCCAAGAGCTTTATAAGAGGTGTTATACAACCACATCGTATCACATAATCCAGCATCTTTCCACAATCAGGAGCCCGCGTGAGCCTTTAAGCAACAGTCTCACCAAGTGTTTCTATACATCTTGTAGCCCAGCCAGGCTGAGATAGAAAGATGAGGTGGGGTTTCCTCCTTTCTCCTGCAGACTCCACTGTTTGCTGATGGCCACGTTCATCTGTGATCCACGATGGGTCACTCTGCATTTGCATTGGGAAAACAAACATATCGCTTGAAGCCTGTGCACTGTGTAACTGAGCGAGCAGAGGTTTATCCCCTGGTTGCATATAACAGGATCATCTCTTGTCAAGACTCTAATGGGTTCATTGCTTTCCAAATATTGATAGATGAGCATTTAGCACATGAAAAGTAAAATAAATTTGCACTGAAAGCTATGGATGGACAGTTGGATCGAAGGCTGGGAAAACAAGAGCGGAAAGCTATTTAAATGAAGACCCACATTCTTCCCTGTGAACTGCCTGATCTTTAAGGTCTCTTCCAACCCAAACTATTTTATGATTCTAAGTAACAAACAAGGAGGGATCCTAGGGAACCACAGCATCTTCTGCAAAGACCACTTGTGGAACACTTTTGGAGCACCTCAAAGAGGTTTGCAGACATGGGGTGCCATCCAGGCAGGCAGGGTTCTGTACAGAGCCTGCTGCCCCTCTGGATGCTCACTCAGCAAGGCAGCCTCAGCTCCATTGCCCCTTTTCCTCACCACCTTCCCCTGTGATGAATAACAGCAACCAATGGTTCACCATGAAAACAAGCCAGAAACATCTGCAAGTCTGAAGAGATGATGCTATTTCTGGAAGAACCCTCCAAAAGAGACTCTTCCACCTGCGAGCAGGGACCAGGAGTTTGGATCTGATGGAGCTCTGCTGTGGGAAGGACGGGTTTATTGGGACACACTCCATAGTTCTGCTATAGGTGAGGCACTGAGAACTTTGGAAATTTCCAGCCTGGCATTGCTCTAAGTGAAAAGCTCCATCTTGCTCTCCTGGGTCAGATATCCTGCATGCAGTTCCTAATTTGGACCACAGCTCTGGAAAACTTGATTAGAGCTGTGAAAACAGAATTTTTATTAGGGAGAACAGAGCCCTTGCCAAGGGTTATTTTTCAAGGGAGCAGGACCTAATCCTAGAAGTAGTTCCAGGGCTGTGCTATTCTGGATGCCCTTGCAATGGTTTATGGCAGCTATGCAGCCAAACCTGGACTGACTGGTAATGTTTGCTTTGGACAAGTTGCTGCAGATGGCAACCAACTGCAGATGTACTTCTCAGCTTGGTGCAGGCATCACTGAAAATACAGCTTCTCTTTTTCTGCCCCTCACTTTTCAGTTTCATTTTTACACAATTAATATGTGCATGTATGTTCCCAAATACACACCACCAAAAAACAGCCAAACATTTAAACGCACGCAGAGAATAAAGTAACATACCTGCGCTCGGACAGAAGCCTGTTAAATGTAATCACCAGACAGACAAATCTCTTTGCCAGCTTTCAAAGCTAAAACTCCTGAAGAATCAACCATAGCCCCCTTCTTTAGGTGGGTGTTTCCCAGGGAACAGCACATCACTTTCCTCAAGGGAGCCCACAGAGTTTGTGGCGTGGAGTGACCCTCTGGAGGGAGCTTTACATCCATACAGCAAGCAGTAACTGGACTGAACTGAGCCATAAATCCAGGAATGCATGGGAAAAGAGCAAATTAAAACGTGCTATACTTGGCAGGTTCCTTTGCGAGCACAGTGCTTGTGAAAGGTGACATTAACAGCCCCAGCAGCTGAAGGCTGCTCTTTCTTCCACAGCTGGGGTAGCACAAGCAAGAGCAGCAAAAGCTTCCCGAAACAGTGCTCCCATCCTCTCCCAAAAGGGGCTTTGCCTTGGGTGAGAGAGCTTCTGCAGCATCTCCTGCCTGGCACAGCCACAGAGAGCTCACCGCTGGCAACTCGGGATGTGTTTGGGATGAGGAAGCCACCACCAAGGATGCCCGGGATGGGGCAAACGGGCCTTGGGGACTCCGAGACCGTCCATAGGACACTTTGGCTGGCAATGAGCAGAATGGGACCAATACTCCTGCAGCTCTACATGCAAGGACCGTGCAACGCACCGTGCCCACTGCTCCCTTCCTACCCCACCAGTTAATTTAATTGCAACAGAAGAGAAGTGTCTCTGGGCAGCCAGACTGCCACACTTCCCAAGAACCCATCACCCCATCCCTGCCTCTTACACAGGATGCACTGGAAAACATCCCTTCTCCAGCACAGGCACCAGTCCTCCTGCCCACCCCCTCCCCAGTTAACCCCCCCACACACACACATTTAGCAGCTTAATTCCTCCCTGGAAAAAGAGTGAGAATTAATTTGTTAGTGTCAAATTCTATCTTTGGATGTGCATGCTCAGCTCTTCCGGACTTCAGCGCAAGCGTGGCCTTCCCGCAGGCAGCCTGGGCTCGGCGTGTTTGTAGCGTGCTTTGAAGCTGGGCTGGTGTTAGGAGGTGTGAAATACTCGAGAGAGGGGAGCTCACCCTTCTCCCCGCTCCATCACCGTCAGGCAGCGAAGCGGAGCGGGAACAACAGGCGCGATGCGGGAAGCCAGATCCCACAACTTCATTAAGAGTCAGAAAGAAGATCAAAGGAAGGAATTTTCAGCTTTAAGGAAGGAAAAAAAGGGAAAAAAAAAAAAAAAGAAAAGAAGGGGGAAAAATATGTTTTGAGTTTCCCAGAAACCCAGAGTTCACTTTGTTACTTGGAAATAAGTAAGTGATTCCCTAAGCAAGGCAGAGCTACCCTGCTGCACGCCTTTCTCTCATCCACGCAGCGCAGGAAGCCTTGTTTGCAGCCAGACCTCCACCAACTTGATTAAAGCCGTACCTCCTCACGCGTGGGCACACCAGGTTGGTTACATACTGCTCCTTGTCCTGCCCACACTTGTCCTTGGCATTCTTCAATGAACGCCGAAGGACGCCAGCCCTGCTCTTCACTGCACAAGTTAAACCTATTTACGCAAAGCGCCGAAGACAACAGCAGGAGGAACCTCCAGCCAGTCAAGGACCAGACACACACACACAGCCCCCCCTTGTCCCTAATCCCTTGCAGCCAGACAGGTCCCAAAATAGCCGGATTTTTCCCCTAAGAGAGAGCTTTTTGAGTTTGCCAAGGTGAGGCAGCCAGCAGCTCACGCTGTTCTGATCACAACTGCTTATTTCAGGTCCACTTCAGCCATCGGGGTGTCTGTGGTGCCACTGGGCAGCACCCGAGGGACCAGTCAGGGTCACTGTGGGGCCACTCTGGATCATCTCTGGAAGGTCACAGCAATGTCGATGGCTGGGAAAAAGCAAATAGGACCCAGCTTCAGGACAGCAAAGAGGAGGATCCAAAGTGGTGCAGAAGAGCTGGCCTCGCCAGCATCACCCTTGGGAAGGTGATGGAGCAAATGGTGCCAGAAAGCATTTCCAAGAGGCTAAGGTGATGGCAACTGGGAACAGCCAGTGCCAGTTCCCCTGGCACAAGTCGTTCCTGATACTCGCTGCAATTAAAGGGCTGGCTCTGTGGATGAACAGAAAGCAAGGGGGTTTATTTACCTTGACTGTAGCAAGGCTTTTGGCTCAGCTTCCCATAGCATCCTCAGAGCCAAAGTGGTGAGATAGGAACTGGGTAAGGGGACTAGCAGGAAAACTGAGCAGACTGCTCAAACACTGTGTTTGGGATACAAAGTCCAGCAGGCAGGCAGGGAGCAGTGCCATCCCTCGGGATCAATACTGTCCCTATTAGCCACCAGGACGACGGGACAGAGCATTGGCAGATGATGCTGAACTGGGAGGAGCAGTTGATGCTGGTCAGAGACTGGCCAGGCTGGGGAAAGGACATTGTGAATGCAAATGCCAGGAGAGCAGCTTCACAGGAAGGGTCCTGACGGGCTGAGATGTTTGGGGATGGAGCACACATTGCATGGGGAGATGTGGGGAGAGTGGCGTTTGTCCAGCCAGGAGAGGAGGAGGCATAAGGAAGGTCTCACTACTGTCTGCAAATCCCAAATGGGATGGTGGAGAGAAAGCAGGGTCAGACTTACCTCGGAGGAGCATAGCAAGAGGTGATGGGCAACATGAGATACCCTGAGTAGATGATAGGAAAACACTTACTCTATTTGATCGTGAGGGAGGTCAAGCACTGCAGGAAGGGCGAGATCACAGACTGGTTTGGGCTGGAAGGGACCTGAATGCTCTATCAGTTTAAAGCCATTCCCCTTTGTCCTGACCCTACAGGCCCTTGTCAAAAGCCCCTCTCCACCTTTCTTCAGCTATTCAAATCCCAGCTAAACACAGCCCTGAGCAACCTGATGTCAGCGGCCCTGATTTGAGCAGGGGTTGCTCTAAAGCCTTCCACAGACCTGCTGGTTTCCAGACCCACCCTGGGCTCAGAGGCCACTGGAAAAGGGAACACATTTCCCCTGTGTCTCTGCACAGTGCTCACCGGCTCTACTTTAGTACAGTGATAAACCAGCATTGACAGAGCGCTCTCAAAGTCAGCTGAATCTCAAACCCATCTTCCGTGCAGCGTGCCACACTGGCCAGGACCAGACAGCTCCTTCTCAAAAAGCTTCATCAGGCAATTAATTTTCCCCCCTGTCACCGACAGCAAATAGTCCCTTGAAATCAAAGGGACAGATAAAACAAGTTAACACTTTTTCAGATGCTTGCTGGCAAGTTCTTTGTTCTTAATGATTAGACTTTCCAAGCAAATGTGTCTTTTGATGATACAGTTGGTGGAACCTAAATAATCCTCAGGGAGGCAAATTAAGGACCATTTTCCTCTCTTTTAACTCGAGTGTTAGCCTTCCCAGCGTTCACCCCAGCACAGCACTATTTCTCTGATACCATCCCCTAAATCTGGCAAGAGCCTTATGCATTTACTGAAGAAGAGTCCATCCTCACTTTGGTGCAGAGCATCTTCAATTACCTGTAACTACCACCGGTCCAGTGCCCAGAATCAGACCTGTGACCCCCGGTCCTGCTCCTGACACCAGGATTTCATGGGAGAGCCGCTTTATTCCCTCTCCCCCGTGTTGTGGGGAGAAAACTCCATATAACCTGATGAGGAGGTAACCTGAAAGGGACATGTGAGCCTCTTGGGACTGCCTCCCATCCATGGCACCCCAGCCCTGCATGGGCAGGACTGACACCCACCGACTGCTCGTTCAGAGCACCGCGCAAGCACTTCTTGAGCCAGTGACGGACTCCACAGCTTCACCACTGCGGGCAGAGGCAATGGCCCCGCTCAGCTGCTCCGACTCGCCTTTCCCAAGGGCTGATTTGGGGCAGTTTCCATGGGAGCTGCTCAGAGCCTCGGCTCAAACCCAAGGCGAGCGGAGCGGGGAGCGCAGCGGAGCGGTGCTGAGGGCGCCACCTCCTGGCCTCTGCGTGCAGCTGCACCCGAGCGGACCCCGCTCCGCACAGGGTCGGTGGTGGAGGGTTGGAGCCTGACCAGCAGGTCCCTGCCACGCGTGGCACCCAGTGCATGCCGCAGCATGGGTGCCATGGACCCCATTCAGCCACACCCTACCTAAGCCTGTCACTCGATCCGTCGGGGGCTTTGCATCGCTGCTGTGGATCCACCAGAGAGCATCCATCAGCCCCGAGTCCACCCCGTGCACCAGGGTGTGAGAAAAGCACCCACAACCCAACCCCAACTCCAGTGTGGTGGCTCAAAGCACTTCCCAAAACGAGGGGCCAGGCTCCATCCAGTCACCATGATTCTGACCGGGGGGGTGGGCTCTGGTATTTGCACCCCATTAAGAGGTAAGCTGCCTCCAAAGGGGACTTTCAGCTCAAGGATGCCACAGAGGACACTGCTCTGTCCCTGGGAGCCATCCCATCTGCTGACCTCCAAATAAAGAGTGTGTACAAGAGGGAAATAGCACACGGGTACAAGCCTTTGCAAGGCTGGAGGTCTGGTGAGCAGCTTCAAGGAGATGCTCTGCCACTGTTCTTTCAGGCAAGGAACAACTCCATCAGCTACAGCAAACAGACCTTCTGCTTCCCCCAGTTCCAAATTCATCACAGGCTCAAATACACACACTGAGGCTTTTCCTGCTTTAATTATTTAGAAATCCTAACTCTGGCTCTTTGTTGTCAGGGGCTGTTTCCACATTCTAGTGTTATAAGACTAAAAGAAGAACAAATCTGAAACCTTTCCCTCATCCTGCTGGTGAAGTTTAATTCACTCTAATTATTTCATACGACTTGGACTATAATAGTTTCATAATTTCTAGTATATTAAGCACTTAATACGTTGTGTCATTTGAAGTCGCATATTAAATTCAGCAAAGTACATTTTAATGAGAGCTAAGTAGTGTGAAAATATTAATATAACACAATAGCTCATTTTTGCACCCATGTTGGTAAGCGCTGCCACTGTGCGTGGTGTGCCCAGGCAGGTGAGCACAGTGGAGGATGGATGGGCTCCTGGATCAAGGAGCTGCTGGGGAAAGCTTGGGATAAGGACAGCAGGAGGTGGGAAGGCTCCACACACCAGGCCCAGCTGTGGGTCTGAGGTGTCCAGCCTCTTTAAGGTACAACAATGACAACAGGAACCCAGGCTGAGCTTCTCCATGGATTCTGTGCAGTCATCCTGTGCCACATCCAGCCCATGAGATACCAGTGGTAACCCAGGCAGAGGGGAACAGAGAATCCCAGCCTGGTTTGGGTTGGAAGGAACCTCAAAGCCCATCCAGTTCCAACCCCTGCCACAGGCAGGGACCCCTTCCACTGGAGCAGCTTGCTCCAAGCCCCTGTGTCCAACCTGGCCTTGAACACTGCCAGGGATGGGGCAGCCACAGCTTCTCTGGGCACCCTGTGCCAGCACCTCAGCACCCTCACAGGGAAGAGCTTCTGCCTAAAGCCTAATCTAAATCTGCAGTGCAAGGAAAGAGGTTCAGCTGCTCCTCTACAAACTCCAAAGACACCCAACTACTTCACTCTCTCAAGGAACCAACCTCTCAGCTCACAGAGCTTGACTCTACCTTTTCATTCATCTCTTTGCTGATGTCTCCTTGGTCTATGCATCCCTCCGATGTCCCAGCAGTAGGATCCCCATTTCCTAAGGCTTACCTGCTTGTGAGATGCTACCAGCAACCCCAGCCCTGCTGCTCCTGCTTCATGGTCATGTACCACAAACATCTGCAGCTCACCCAGCACAAAAGGTTGCCTGACCCCAAACGAGCCACAAGAGCTTTGCTTGATGCTCTCAAAAAAGAGCAGAGCCAAAGGAAGCAGTTGGAGCACCTTCACCCCAAGGGTTTTATAACCTTCAGCCCAGCTAACCACATCCACATGCCCCAGCGATGATCTTCCTCACCCGCAGGTGATGAAGGACACTCTCCTGCCCCAGCACAGCTGATCCCAGGGGCGGGCATTCAATTCCCGCAGGGAAAAGCCATGGTGGATTGCTGGAGTGGGGCGGGGGGAGCGGATAGTGCCTGATGCTGCTTCGGCACCTTGCAGTGCTGCCGCTACCGGGAGCATCCCGGGGCCGGTGATCGGAGCTGCAGTACCGGCTTTGCCCACGCGGTGGCGGCAGTGCCCGCGGAACCGCGCCCGCTCCCGTTAATAACTCGCAGGAAGTAATCCCGGCGGATCCCGGTGTCGGTTCGCACCGCAGCCACCGGCATGGGCAACGTGTACACACACCCCACACCCCCCCCCTTCCCCCAGTGCACCCTCCAGCCCCGATTCCTGCATGCTCCCGGTCTCCGCAGCCCCGGGGCGCAGCGCTGCGGTGTGCATCCCCCTCCCGGTCCCGGTCTCCCCAGGACCACGGGGCAAGGTGCAAACCCCGCTCTGCGTCTCCTCCCACTCCCGGAGCGCCCCAAGACTCCGGTCCGAGGTGCAATTTCCCCCCTACCCGGTCCTTGCCCCGCTCCCGGCCCTCCAAGATGCCGCGCTAGGTTAATCCCGGGCTGAAAACAGGTATTTAGGGCTAATAGGTGTGCGAGCACCTCCGCATCGCTCTCGGAGCTCATTAATGTAATACTTTCATGTGTGAAACGAGCATATAAATGGGCATTAATGAGCTCCCGTCTGCGGCGACGAGGAGGAGGGGGAGCGGGGAGCGCGGCAGGGAAGCGGGCAGCCCCCACCCCAGCTCCCGCAGCCGGTGTCGAGCCCCTACCCCAGGCCAGGGAGCAGCCGTCGGGGCCCGGTGAGCCCGAACACGGTGTCCCTGGGGGGGGGGGGGGGGGGGGGAGACCCTCGCACCCCCTCCCGGGACAGCCCCACGCAGCAGGCGGCTTCTTAAAGTCGGCTTTTATTAAAGAACCAAAAATCACGTACAGAGGGGGCTCTCCCCAGAGCGGGCGAGCGTTGTTCTGCCTCCGGAGTCCGGACCGCCCGGTAAAGTGCTGTTACATCCATAAATGTACGGGGGGGTAGTGAGGGAGGAGGGGGGCCCGAACGGGAGGGGAATAAATATACATCATAAATAAATAAAGATCCAACAAATACTGTACCAAGAGAATCACAGTACATTTATATCCATTGCACATCGCCACTTTTGTTTCCAGTCTGGACAAGGGTGGAAGAAGCGGACACACGGGGGGATAAGAGGGGCTGAGCGGGGGGGGGCCGCGGGGCGCGGGGCAGGGGGGCCCGGCTCCCCCATTCCCGGCCATCCCGGGGCCGCTCCCCGCCGTATTGCCAGTCCGAGGAAAGTCGGGCTCCGAGTCCTCTATGTACAAGTGTCTCCTCGTGGAAATGGCTTGTGTGGGCTCTGCCCGCATGGCTTCGGGGTTTGGGGGGGTCCGGGGGGGGCTCACTGGGGCAGCAGCGGCGGCTTGAAGGAGCAGTTCCCCGTGCAGTGCCGCGGGGTCAGCATTTTGCAGGAGAAGTGATGCAGCGCGTCGTGGGCCTCTGCAAAGTGATGGAGCCGTCACCCCCGGGGCCCCCCCAACGCGGGGAGGGGGGTGTTGGCCCCCACTTAAATGTACCCCCCCCCGGGTACCTTTCAACTTCTGCTGGATGGCGTAGCGCGCTTTCCTCTCCTGGTCCAGCTCGTTGCACAGCGTGTCTGGGATGGGGGAGAGCATCGTAGTGCGCCCACCCCGTCGGGGAGGGAAGGGGGAAGGGGAACACGGAACGGGATGGGGTGGGGAGGGGGCGGAGGGGAGCCGGGCTTGGCTCCCCGGCTGATTTTACGCCTTGGGTTTTAATTTAGCACTGATGGAAATTGCTGCGAGAGGGAAGATTCGTTCGTTCCCGTGTGCTGATGCCTCGCAGCCGCTTGCGGGGAGGCTCGAAATGCCGAGGAGAAGCGGAGTGCACGGAAGGAGAAAAGGAGAAGGAAAAGAAAAGGAAGGAGAAGGAAAAGAAAAGGAAGGAGAAGGAAAAGAAAAGGAAGGAGAAGGAAAAGAAAAGGAAGGAGAAGGAAAAGAAAAGGAAGGAGAAGGAAAAGAAAAGGAAGGAGAAAGGGAAAAAAGGAAAAAGATAAAAGAAAGGAGCAAAGAAAAAAAACAGAGGAAAGAAAAGGGAAAAATAAATAAAAGAAAAAGGGAAAAAATAAAGGAAATAAAGGGAGAGAAAATTAAAGAAGGGGGGGAATGGAAAGGAAAAAAGAAAAAGGAGAGAAACAAAAAGGAGATTAAAGAAATGAAGGTAACGGGCCGGGCCTCACCTCGGACGATCTGGAGCTGCTGCACCATCTCCTCCCGGTACGCCAGCTCCCGCTTCATCTGGTCCTGGAAGTTATCTGGGGGACACGGGGGGGGTCAGAACCGTTCCCCGGCATGGGGCCCGCTCCCCGGCGGGGCAGGAGGGGCTGGGGGTGTCTCCGGTACCTTTCAGGCTCTGGAAGTCCCTCTCCAGCTTTTTCCTCAGCTCCATTTGCTCCAGGACCAGTTTTTGTAACTCATCTGTTTAAAAATACATGGGGGGCTGAGGGGAGCCCGCACTTTTCCATCTGGAGGCGGCTCAGCGCGGCGCTAATCCCATTACGTTACATTAATCACAGGAGTTAATCACTCCTGCCGAAAACACAAATACCTCGAGCGGCGGGGACAGGCCGGGGGATCCCCCCAGAGCCCCCCACCGCGGGGCACCGGTCCCCGCCTCACCTCGGGCCAGGTTTTCGATGTCCTTCTCCACCAGCTGCGTCCCGGCGACATCCATGCCGAGGGTGTCCTCTCCTGCGGGAGGGGGACACTGCGGGTCAGCCCCATGGCGGGGCTCGGCGGAGCGCGCATCGCTCCGCGGACCGGCGCTTACCTCTGTCGGTATTTACAGGGCTGGGATGAGAGACATTCCTTTGGTCCTGATAGGATTTTCTGGTCTCTAAATCCTCTGCCGCGGAGTGATTGTCTTCTTTATCTTGCTCTTAAAGGTAATAAACCGATTTTCAACCGTAAGCAATGAAAGTATGGTCCTGATATATCCTTAATTACATAATTACGGACAAAGCCCTCGTTAAAGCCTTCTTAGCGGACATCCTAATCGCTTTGCGGTTGGAAAGTAGCTTGCGGCAGAAGCTCTGCCCCCCGCTCCCAGCGCGGCCCTACAGCCCCGGGGGGGGGGGGTTGGGGGGGCATGGCCCCGTCCCCCATCCCAAAACCGTTTACCCTCTCTTTTCCCCCGTAAAGCCCCGAACGAAATCAGCGGCCCCGGACGCCCCCCGGGGCCGAGCAGCCACTGGGGGACAATGCCCGCGGCAGCGCCTTCGGTGCGCACCGGCCTCCCGCCCCCCGGCCCCAGTTACCCTTCGCCTCGGGGGGGCACAGGAACGCGGCCGGGGCTCCCAGCGCGGCGGCGGACTTCAGCGGCTGCAGGTGCTCCCCCCGGTCCGGAGCGAATACCTACGAGACAGCGAGTGAGGGGGGGGTTCCCTGCGGGAGACCCCCGAGGGCAGAGTTTCCCGTGTCCCCTCCCGGCCCCGCACCTCGTAGCCGCCGCTGCTGCTGCTGCTCCGCTCGGGGCTGCCGTCTGGGGCCTGCCCGCCCTCCTGTGCCACCGGATCTGCCGCCTTCTCCTCAGGCCCATCGGCGGGCGGCGGCGGCTCCTCGGTACCGGCCAACAGCCGGGGCGGCGGCGGGTCCCGTCCGTCGGGGGGTACGGCGGCGTTGTCCTCCTCCTCGTCCTCCGGGAACCGGTTGGACTCCACGTCCACCTCGGGCTCCTCGGCCGTGTCCCCGCCGGGCGAGAGCGAGCGGTAGCTGGAGCTGCCCTCGCTGAGGAAGTCCGGGGACAGGTAACCGGGGCCGCGGGGCGCCGCGCCGCCGTACGCATCCCGGGTGCCGTAGAGCTTGGCGATGCTCTCGGCGTCCTTCACGACGGGGCGGAAGGCGGAGAGGTAACTGCCCTTCCTGGGCAGGGGCAGCGGGGCGAGCAGCGCCTCGTCCCCGGAGCGCTCCTCCTCGCCCGCCGCCCGCGACAGCGCGCTGGGGCAGCGCTCGCCCTCTGCCCCGGCGCCCTCCTGAGGGGTAGCGCTGCTCCTGCCGCTGCCCGACGGCTCCGAGCCCTCCAGCTCTCCGTGCCGGCCCGACAGCCCCGGCGGCTCGGCCGCTGCCGCCGCCGCAGCCGCTGCCGCCGCCACCACCACGGCCGTGGCCGCCGCCTTGGCCTGGCTCTGCGCGGGGTACGGCGGCACCGGGAGGCTGCCTGCGGCCGGCCAGAACACGGGGAAGGAGGGGTAGACACCGGAGTCCTTGGCGGCCCCGGGCTGGTGCGGCGGCTGCGCCGGCTGGTGCGGGTGTGGGTGCGGGGGTCCCCAGAACATGCCGGGGGGCAGCGCGCCGCCCTTGCCCGCCTCGCCGCCCCCCGCGCCGCCCAGCGCGTCCTCCTGCTTCTTGGGGCAGAGTCCGAACGCGGCGGCGGGGAAGCCGTAGGGGTGAGGGAAGAGCGGCGGCGGCAGCTTCTGCAGCATCCCGAAGCCCTTGCTGGGCACCGGGATCACCGGGTAGCTGCGCACCGCTCCCGCCCCGCCGTGCGCGCCCGCCGCCCCGCCGTGAGCCGCCGGGAGCCCCAGCGCCCCTCGATCGCCCGCCGGCTCCTGCCCGCTGCACCGGAGGCTCTTGTGCGCCGGGGCCAGCTCGGGGCCGGCGGGGGGCGGAGGGTGCAGCGCGGCCTTGGCGGCCGGGGAGCCGGCACCGGGCCCGCCGGCGGCCGCCCCTTGCAGGGAGAAGGTCCGCTTGC